AAAAAAAAGAAAAAGGAAAAGAAAAGCAAGCATCTGTTCAGCTTTTCCTGAACTATTTCAGAAAAAAAGTTGATGACTTCAAGGACATCTTCATAAAAGTCCAGTTAATACAGAAGAAACATGGTTAAAAAAAATACTACTTGCAACCCATAATGAATAGAAGTAGTATCAACATTCAGTGGATACTAATTAAATCTATTGATTGAGAGATGGAAAACTTAGTAATTAATGAACCAGGTTGATAACATCTAAACTCAAATTAACCTTAATGTCACTGAGGGGGGCAACTCAGTCATTATGTACTTCACAAAGTTGATAAAAAGTACACACCACTCATGAAGTATTCTTGCCAAAAGCAATCAATCCTCCAGGTCTATCTACCAATTTACAGGAAATCTGTGACATAGAGATAGAATTAAAAAGTAATCAAAATAGAGCTGGGCTCGGTGGCTCAGCCTGTAATCCCGCACTTTGGGAGGCTGAGGTGAGTGGATTGTCTGAGCCCACGGGTTCGAGACCCACCTGGGCAATGTGGCAAGACCTCATCTCTGCAATTAATCAAAAAATTAGCCGGGCGTGGTAGCGCGTGCCTGTAGTTCCAGCTACTTGGAAGGCTGAGGCGGAAGGATCACCGGAGCCCAGCAGATCGAGGCTGCGTTGCCGGCAGCGTGCCACTGCACTCCAGCCTGGGCAATGGAGTGAGACACCAACTCAAAAAAAAAAAAAAAGTAATCAAAATAACCAGCCAAATCCAAATTGTGAAAAAGGTTTCAGGACAAATACCCAGTTCCTTAGCAATTAAAATGGCATGGAAACGAAAAATGTTTGGCTAGCGTGTGAAAAGAGGAGCTCAATCAATTAAAAGTCTTCAGCAACACATTAAGTAAATGAAACATGTAAACTGTACTTGAATCTTTGAGAAAACCAACTATAAAAAGGCATTTCTGAGACAGCATGAAAAATCTGAACATGGACTGAGTACTGGGTAATATTGAGTAATTTTGTTAGGTGTGATAAGGTGTTTATTTGTCAGAGATAATATAGGTAAATATTTCATTAATTTTAAATATTCCAAGAAAAAAATAGTGGAACTTAAAACAAGTTCAGCAAAATTCTGATAGTTATGGAACATGCTGTGGGTACATGGGGGTTTGTTGTATCATTTTAATTTTGTGTATGCTTGAAAATACTCCAAAAAAATTATTAAAAATAAAATCAAATTGCATTCTGTAGATACCTATATTGATAATATGGCATACAAAATAAGTACACATCATGTTCTTGATGAGTTTATAATCCTGGTAGGAAAATAAAAGAATGAATTATGTAAGGTCACTTTAATGCTAAAATTGAATTATGCAAATAGCAAGTGCAATAGCTCCAGAAAGAGATTAATATTACTAACGTTACCTGACAGTTGCAGGAATGATGTTTACACTAATTTTAAAAAAAAGTCCACTAGAAAATATTTATGCTTGTTTTGAATTTTGTTTTTCTTTTCTGCTTGTTCTGACTTTTCAATCCTGGGATTCACTAGAAACAAAATAGAAACTCTCAAAAGTATAGACAGCAAAAGTACATCTATCTTGCCCAATAAAATAACTTGGTGCTGAAGCACAATCTTAAACAGCAAAAGATGCAGAAACACATTAAATATAGGTTTACACACAAAGATCTGTAGAATATTTTAATAAAAAAATTTTAAACATAACGAACACAATTTAGAGAAAAAGAATCAACTCTACAAATGTTTTCCTTAAATCAAAACAATCTAATTTAACTCAAATTAAAAATATGGCTACAGGTCGGGCTCGGTGGCTCAGCCTGTAATCCCAGCACTTTGGGAGGCCAAGGCAAATGGACTGCCTGAGCCCGTGGGTTCGAGACCCACCTGGGCAACTTGACAAGATCTCGTCTCTACAATAAATCAAAAATTAGTCGGGCGTGGTAGCGTGCCTGTAGTTCTGGCTACTTGAAAGGCTGAAGCAGAAGGTTCACCGGTGCCCAGCAGGTCGAGGCTGCGGTGGCTGGGAGTGTGCCACTGCACTCCAGTCTGAGCGACAGAGTAAGACTACAAAAAAAATGGCTGCAGTATTAATAGTACATGTCTGATAACAGGCTAAACTGATGTGCTGCACTTGGTATAAATGAATACAGAATGATTACACCTAGTTAGTTGATCTACTAAGACACGGAAAAGACATAAAAATCAATAACTCAAAAAAATTAGAGAAACATTATTGTGGGTACAATTTGCAAATGAGTACACAACCTATACATGAACTGAGATTGTACTTATAAAATTTTCAGTTGAGTGAAATTAAATGCTAATTTAACTTTGCGACAATTTTCAAATCTTTCACTAATAAAAAACAGCTGGCACTTTCACATATCTGTGGCCATAAAGAAGCTTCACTTACTCCTAAATCATTCCAGTATAAACTTGTACTTATCCAAAGATAAGTTAACTTCATTTTCTGTACTGGTCAACAAATAGAAAAAGTAAGTATTAAAGAGACTTAACAATGAAAAAAAGAACTCCTTATTCAAAAATTAGAATTACATATTAAGAATGCATTAATTAAAGGTTCAAAATAAGCAACAATACATTTATTGAGGATTGCTGTTTTAATTATATGTCCTAAAACATAACTACATACCATGAGTTACCATATGTAGTATCAAGCTTTGAGTTTACTTGTTATTTGGCCCATTAGGTCAACCCGAAAAATGTTTACAATCTAAACAGAAATTAATTTCAGTACTGAATTTGAAATATTCATATTTCAATAGTGAAAATTTTGTTTTATAGTTAATTCTCCTCCTAAGACCAGTCTGAAATGTTTTATCTAGTTTTCAAAAACGTGGGGGAGGCTCATTATCAAAAATTAAGTCTCTCTTTTCAATGTCAACTATGCAGTAAAACTTTCAAGCAGGTCTTGACTATCTATACCATCTACATATTATAATTTGTCATCATTTTAATAAACAACAATATTTACATTAAGTCCACATTTTGTTCAAATCATATTAAAAGTTACAAAGGAAACTAAAATAAGGTCTAATTATATCACTAGTCTTCTTTATTTTTTTAGAATATAAAAATGAATAGAAAACCTTTTGTGCTTTGCTTAAAATATATATTATTTTTTTTAAGTCTCACCCCTTTGCCCAGGTTGGAGTACAGTGGCACACACGCTCATGGCCACCCCAGCATCAACCTGCTGGACTCCAGCAATACTTCTGCCTCAGCCTTCCAAGTAGCTGGAACTACAGGCGCACGCTACCATGCCCGGCTAATTTTTTTTATTTATTGTAGAGATGAGGTCTCGCCAAGTTGCCCAGGCTATTCTCAAACCCGTGGGCTCAGGCAATCCCCTCAATTCAGCCACCCAAAGTGCTGGAAGTACAGGCTAGATCCACCAAGCCCAGTCAAAATCTTTTTAAAAGTGTGTATTGCTTCTACAAAAATAATCACCTATTGTTTAAAATAATTTTGACTTAAACTAAAAATGTTCTATTTCTCACTTTTATCTTAGAAAGCAAAAATATACTAAATAAAATATCAGTATTACCCTAAATCAGTGAACAGAATATTTAGTAAGGAAAGTAAGATTTTGTTTGGATTTATAATCAATATTTTCATTTTCAGAATGTGAGGGATTAACTGACTTCATATAGTCATACCACAACACTATAAATAATTCAAAATTATTCAACAGTGATGTCATCAGGAAACAAAAGAGGAGGTTTAAATATTTTTGAAGACCTGATATTCTCACCAAAGATAAGTAAAATAACAAAAGCATGAATAAACATTTTTTTTCCATCTCTTCTAATATTTTTAACCTGGCTTCTTTCATTTTATCCCAAGATCTCTAGAGTAGAAAAATAATTTTAACATATATCTCTTTAGATAAAAACAATTTTAAAGATAGGAGTAAAGTCCATAAATTTGGATTTTAAATTTCTTTCAAAAAAGACATTTTCAATGTGTTTTTATAGTTAAATAACATTACACCAAAGTCTCCACTAAAAATTTGAAACCGATTTTTTTCTTAGGAAGAACAAAAATTAATATTGAAGACGTCAAACCTGTAGGACCTTTTACTCAAATAAATTTTTAGGAAATTTTGTGAAGATTGAATTTTCTTGTTGCCAAAACATCACAAATTAAAAATCTCAAAACCTATTAAAAGACGTTTTTAAAGCACAGTAACAACCTTGACAAAAGATATAAACTCTTACCTCCCTCACTTTCCTCTTCTATGTTTCTGTTAATTTTCTGCATAGCATTTTTCCTCCTTTCAAAGAGAAATTCCTATAAATCACTGGTAACTGTCATCTACATCCAGTTCAATTTGAACCTTCAAGTCATAACTCACCGCTAAAGCAACTTGGAGTAGCAACTAACTCCAAAAGCCATGTTAAAAAACAAAATATATTCTAGTATACTCCATTGTTATGTACCCCAATAAAGATTAGTGTTTAAAAACTAAGCATTCAATACTTATTTGAGGGGTTAAAAGAAAGTTTTAATATTAGAATCTAGACCCAGGCTTTCAACTTCTTATCAAAAGAGTAAAATAAGTAAAAATAAACTGAACTATATTGAACCACACCTAGTAAGACATAAAGACTATAAAGTACAAAATGAATAATTTTTCTCTCTTGGTAGCCAATTTTCTGTCAGACTTCCATCATCATACAACTGGAATTGCTTCCATGAAGTCACCAATAGAAAATCAGATTTCTTTACAAAATCTACTTCCAGGCCTCCACACATTCTCCTTCCCATCCCCCCTTAAGCGCTCAATTTCTGTCCTAAAGTAGATCTTCCATAAATATTACAATATTAAGGACCAAATTTTAATAAATGCAAATCAGAGGAAATGAAAGAACATTACCTCCCATCCAAATCTTCCTTTAAAAAAAAGTCTGTTTCCAAGTAATATTTTTAACTTCCCCCATAATTCTCTTTAATAAAGATGAACACAAAATCTCTCTGCTAATGACTTTATTCATGAATCTGTAATGGAACTCAAAATAGCAAAGAACACGAAAAATTTTCAGATCAATATTTATCAACCAAATACAACAGAGAATATATCTCTTTTTTGTATAACTAACAAAAATGCCTAAAATGTACATGTGAGAATACAAATATTCCCCACTTTGTGGAACTTCAAGGTAATAAAGAATTGCTTAATACAGTTTGCCAAAAAAATTTATTACATTATCAAATATATACAAAAGAAATCAAATGCAACTGGTAAAATAACCACCTCATAGTTAATCTTTTGTCAAATGCTATTTTCATACTAAAAAAGGAATTAGTAAAGATTGATCATTTAAAAATATTGAACCATCATTCTAAAAGTGTTAAGAATTTTCTTTAGTATTCACTATTTTCATCACATTCACAGGTCCTCAATATGAGACTATAAACACTATCTTAAATTTTTAAAAAATCTTTTCATTCACAGATTATTCCTAGAGGTTAAAAATCACTATACCATTGCTAAATGAAGTTTTTCATGATACACTGTATTCGTGGTATATGTATATTAAACACAACAAATAATTCTTCATTGTTTTAAACATGATCTTTGGCTTAAAGCTGTTATCTTTTTTAGTTAGATGTTGTGGTTAGTAAAATATTCATACAACTGCACACCAGTTTAGTTTGAGTCATAAAAGAAAACTGGGTCACTTAAGGGCAATGAACGGCACAGATCAAGAATCTGGCAAGACAAATTTCCTGAAATTCATAATGTTAAGTGTCAAAGGAAATCAGTGTTGCTGAGCAGTAACTCACCTCTTTTCATCAATAACCTCTATCTATTCATTAACAGCATTAACCACTGAGATGAAATTAGTTGGAAAATTCATCAACAGCATAAGCTAAGAGGAAATTAGCTGAAAAAGACATATCTGAAGGAAGGCACACAGGTGCAAATCTTAACCAGATAAATAAGACCAACTAAACTGCACTGCAAGCAAAGGTGTGTCCACCCCAAGTACCTACTCACATCTATATTAGATGATTAGAGGTTGAATACCATCACTGCCTAGATTGTACCATATGGAAGAACTCTTTGCCTATGGGTGTACCCTAGAGATCAGAACTAGTGGATAGTTTTTCAGAATTTGTGAGCATCACTTAGATGATGCAAACATTGACCTTTTCCCAAAATAAAAGGTTTTAAATTAAGAGAGTACAGAATGCAAAAAACATTAAGTTGAATCTCAAAAAGAACATGTTCAGTTTCATAACTGAAGACTGCTGATGATTTCTTCTTTCTCTCCTTGAATTATCAAATGCAAATGCCTTTTAGCAATGGCAGCATTCAAATCCCACAAAAAATCAAGTAGTGCTCCCTTAAGGAGCATCTCCATTGGCACAAATTGTAAGACCTGTTGGGGTGCATCAGAGTTGAGAAAACTACTCAACAATTCATTCACATTCTGCAGATACTGGAAAACTGGATTTGGAAGGTCCTGATAACCAACACACAGCAGGACTGCACAGGTATTCAGGGGCTCAGAGGATGTGGGACAAGAAAATGTGATGAATCTAAAACAACTGTGGAGTACAAAGATCAAGCCAGCCATAAATCTTGTGAAACAAGAAAGTACAGGCAAAATCATAACATCCCCTGTATGAAGCTGCTGCAATGAATGTAGAAGGCAGTCCAAAAATAAATGCTGGTAGGTTGGGTCTCCATCATGAAGCAATGAACAGCTAAAAGACATTAAGTCAGTCGATTCCAGGAGTCGAACTTCCAACGGTATATGCACTTTGACATCATGGAGAGCCGGGAAACCAACAAGCAGGCACTTAATTTGGGTGCTGGGTTCTACAACCTGCTCATCCTGAAGGCACTCGGTAAGGCTAACCAACTCAGAAAATATCAATTCTTCAGAAAAAACATGACAAGAACAATAATCCTGCTGTTTTGACCTTAACTTGGAATCTGAATTCAAAGCTCCTCCTGATGACTTCTCAATTGCTTCATTAAGTGTCTTTAAAATTTCACCATCGCAGAAAGGAGAACACTTTACCTTTGGCAGTCTCTTTCCCTGTAAAATATGCCACAAGTAATATTCAAGATCCGAAGCTGTCCTTTCTAAAAGAGAGCTTTGCCTAGGATGATATACAGCATGTTCTTCAGCCCAACTATTAAAGTATCCTTTGGCTACTTTATCTTTCCATGAAAGGGTTTCCAGCATCTTCCTTTCATTATAGGTTTTAAAATACCTATTTCTCTGCCCAAACCATTTTGTATTTGTACTACAACCAATATTAGACTTTTTTACTAGCCAATTACTTCTGGAAAGAGGTTTCAGTTGAAATTTTTGCATAAAATACTGTACAGCACAATCCCTTAGATTATTCAGCTTTGCTTGTTCCCCTTCCCCCATGCACTCAAATAGACGAATGTTCTCAGAAATAGTCTCCAGCTGAAATTTATGAAAGAACACACAACACTCTTCATGTCTTTTGAGAAAAGATTCGGGAATCACATGGTGGGGAAATAGAGCTTTCCTTGTCATTTCAGGCCCAAAATTCAGTACCATCTTAGATAACAGAGGATGAATGGCCTCTTTTCCCTTATAGTGGAGACATATCACATAGACTTCTGAGTTTCCTGCTTTGCTAGTAGCAGGTTTGAAAACATGGACCTGGTCAAAGGAACAGTTTAGTAGGTACATCAAGTTTATGGAACAATGTTCAAACAAAGTAAACATCTTCAGAACAAAAGAGCCACCATTTCCAAGAGTGGTCAGAGCAGAGACAACTTCACAGTACTGTAAAGAAGAGACTAAAGTTTCTTGTTCACCTGGGTTTCCTTGGCAATCAAAACTTCCATCTGCAGTGATCAAGTGAATGGTCGCCATGCTGCTTATGAAATTCTGAAGTCCAGTCAGGTATTTCAGGGTCATGATATCACCAGTGTTATCTGGACCAAAATACCACCAATGCAAGGTATTTGCAATAAGCCGGTCATCCATAACCATCATAAGATTGTCATTTGCTTCATGATACGGATTCAGAGTATTAGCTACCCAACTCCAATCACAAGGGAGTCGATGAGATTTTAAATAGTGGTTGAGACTAGCTATAAAAGCTCCAGGAGCTTCACAAAGGTGGAGAGAATTCAGTTTTCCATCCTGAAAAGCTTCCTGTGGGATAAGTGGAAAGCTGCACAAAATCTCCTGAAATTTACACCATGCTTGAGTACAAAGTTCAGCATTTACAGATTTTTTAACATGAGAAATGATTTTTCCTGCTTTATTAGTAAAAGCAGTGTGCTCATGCCACTCATCCAGCTTCTTATCACTCAGTAGGTTTTTCACTTCATTTAGAGAATTCTTCAAATCAAGAAGTGCATTAAATTCTTTGTGGTCACAAGTGAAAATCTCACTGGGATCTGGTAAATGCCACTCATTATTAAGTGGCTTGCCATAAGAAAAGTTCTTGGCAAAGAGTTCAAAAATGTCAGCAAGAACATCTGGGCTGAATGTCTCAGGACTTGCTAGCTGCTGAACTGGTGGCTTTCTGCACTTACTCATTCTCAAATCAAATTAAAATCTAGGAAGAGAAAATACATTAATTAAATTAATCAAATTTATTAGTGAGTGAAATCTCATCAGTAGCAAATCTGATCACACTCATGACAAACTCCATAAAATGGGAAGGCTAATGTCAGCACACTCTTACCTAATAAGTAATAAGAAATAGTGAAAGAGTAAATATTCAACAGGCCTGGGTTCAAATTCTAGCTCTGCTACTTAGAGCTTAATAAGTGGCCTTGGGCAAATTACTTTATATCTCTGGAATTCGGTTTCTTCTCATTAAAAAAAAATGGCAGTCAGGCTCAGTGGCTCAGCCTGTAATCCCACGCCTTGGGAGGCTGAGGTGAGTGAACTGACTGAGCCCGTGGGTTCAAGACCCGCCTGGGCAACTTGGTGAGACCTCATCTCTACAATAAATAAAAAAAAAAAAAAATTGGCCAGGTGTGGTAGCGCGCACCTGTAGTTCCAGCTACTTGGAAGGCTGAGGTGGAAGGACCGCCAGAGCCCAGCAGGTCGAGGCTGTGGTGGCCGGGAGCAGCCACTTCACTCCAGTCTGGGCGACAGAGTGAGACTCCAACTCAAAAACAAAACAAAACAAACTGGCATGTCATTTTTTTAGACAAGGATAAAACACACTAGCAAATATCAAAGAATATCAGTGAATAGCAATTCTCAACATCATAGTAGCCCATCTAGCTCCTCCTCAAAGTTTTTCTCTACCCACAGCTGTGACAACCACATGGCCTCAAACACATACATCCTTAGAGATCCATCCCTAGATGTAACCTTTGTTCCAGCTCTAACAAATGTCTTTTCGTTTTTTTCAGTTCCCTCCACAACTCAACTCCCAGGCAAGGAATATGCACCTGAACCTAGTACTGGTCCTACCACCAGTCACTTATCCCCCTGTTAGGATTGCTGAATGCATCCTCCATTCAGATTTCATTCTCTACGACATACACTTTGATCCCAATCACCTATATTGGTAACCAACTAATAAAAATGCTCATCATCATACTGCTTGTGCACCATATTGTACTTGAGTGGTTAGTGTTCTTCTGCTTAATACTGAAACTGATTAAGTGTTCATCCTGGCATGTTTTTAAACTACAGATTCCTGCCTCTCATATGGTTAATCAGACAGGGTCACGCTATAAATTATCACTATTTCTTCTTGCCACTAAAACTTTACACATTCTAATAGCAAAATTTTAAACTGAGGAAATATCCTTATTGAAAATACAAATTACAAATAGTTACTCTACACTGTGTTATAACACTGCCAAAAAACCAAAAGCATCTGCCTCCTGAGAGGAAAAAGAATATGAGAAAGAAGCATGGCTTAATGGCATAGTGTTGGAAAAATTATCAAGTCCAGCAGACAGAGGAATGGTACCTGTTACATGGTACCATTAAAGAAATGTTAAGCAATAGGTGCTTTAGTTCATAAAATCTGTGCTATTTAGCACATATGATGCATTTTACAAGGGGTTTTCAAAAAAATCTAAACTTGTTAAATGTGAAAAAACTGACAGCTAAATTACTATTCCAGAAAACCATATGTTTGAGAATAAAATGAGAAATAAACTACTGCCATGATAAAAATATCCAAATAACTTCATTCTTTTAACATTTACTTTGTTTTGTTCTTTTAGCACACTTTTTCTAAAAAATGTTTAAATTATTTATAAGTCTGTCCATTACTTGCAAGTTCCCTGAAGTAACAGGTATCTACATGTCATTTCTGTTTGCCAATGTATTTACAAATTATATGTAAGAGGTTGGAAGTTGTTGATAGTCATGATCATCCATCATCTTTTTGTTACTCAGCTTTTTTTTTTTTTTACTGATAGAAGCTCTATTTAGACAAATTTCTGAAGGAAAGCATTTCCACGTTTACTAAAATCCCAAATAAAAGTTTATTACAACAAGAGACTCTGTATTAATTCACATTGTGCTTACTGGAAACTACAACCATGTTTAGATATCAACTATATTGTATTTTGGAAAAAGTCTCATTTTACTCATTAACTTCTCATACTAATTAATGGCTGTAGTTAAGCTGTGAAATCTTACCTACGCCAATAGGTAATTACTTTCATATGAGAACTAAAGCTATTCAACACTCCACTGTTCTGACTAGACTTTAGCTGTGGTGCCACCTAATTTTTATTACTACTCCTGTTATTTATTTCACTCCAGCCACACAGGTCTTCCTGCTATTCACTGAAGACACCAGGCACTTTACAAGCTGAAAGTGTTTGCATTGGTGGGTTCCTCTGCATGAAATGCTCTTCCCTCAGATATCGGCACAGCAAATTCCCTCACCTCCTTCCAAAATTTGTTCAAATGTAACTTTCTCAGTGAAGTCTACCTTATTTAAAATTGCATTTTGCATTCCCAATGCCCCGGACCTTGCTGTGTTTTTTTTCCCATGGCACTCATTTCCTTCCAACCTATAGTTTATGCATTTATATTTACTGATTATGATTTGTCTTTGCCAAACTAGAATGCAAGCTCCCCAGGGCAGGGAATCTTTGTTTTGTTTACTCATATATCAATCATCCCAAGAGGTTAGAACAGTACTTGGTAGACAGTAAGCATCCAATAAGTATTTATTGAATAAATTGACTGGATATCCTACTTAGCACAAAAGGCACATCTCTGTTCAGGTTCTGAATATGAGTCATAATAATACATCTCAACTTCAATCCAACACGTCAATGCATGACTAAAAAAAGAAGAAGAAAGCATGTGGTTTACAGAGTGTGTGGACATATTTTCCAGTATATGATCCTTTGTCCCTTTCATTAAGTACTCCACAGAGCTTTGTGGCATCATTAATTCTGCTAGGGGGGGTCAGTGTTATCATTCTTACACTGCAAACTCGAGTAGGAAGTTATGTATCCCCTGCCCAAAGCCACAAAGGGAACACTTGTAAAATTAGTGAGCCTAACACAAAACCCACAAGATCTCAAAGTTGTTACACCTCCAGTTAACACTTACAAAGGAGTTTTAAGTGCTTCCGCCAACTCCTCCACCCAGCCGCTGTGAAAATAACTAGTGTGTATCCAGGGATTAACTGGGCCAGGGGCACCTATTTCGTTTAGAGGCAGCCCCAAGCCACATTCGAGCGGCCTGGTCCCTGACCTGAAGGAAACTCAGTCCCAGACCCCGTCTCACCTGCAGGAAAGTCGAAGGAAGACCCTTGCCCACGCCCACCTGGACCCCCACCGTCTGAAAAGCCTGCGCTTCACTCGCTCTCCTCACTCAAGGGGGCCATTCTCCACTTCCGCTCCCGGGGCAGCTTCCCGGGGTGGTCGCTCCTTGGGGTCCGCGGCGCCCTCAGCCCGGAGGGAGGGAGGTGGCGCGCCAGGAGGCGGGAAGGTGGCCCGGACCCGCCCTCGCGACACCGGGAGACTGAACCCACCCCCAGGCCGCAACGCGGCCGAACGCCGGCGGACAGCCGCCTGGGACTCGTACAGTCACACTGCGCACGCGCCCTGTAGGCCGGACTAGCGCGTCGCTTGCGTCAACGTTACGCACGCCGGCGACTCTGCCAGCGTGGAGGCCTCCGCTCCCCAGGCTTTGCTTCTCCGTCGGGTACCGACGCTGTGGAGCTCCAACCTCCCGCCCCCGGCTGCTATGGCAACGGAAGCTGCGCGCGCAGGCAGAGCGTTCTTTGATCCCTGCCTGAAGAGGTGGAGATGTGGAATGGGGCGGGACACACCTGTGAGGACATACTGGCTCCGCCCACCTGGCCCCTCGACCAAAGGTTTTCTAGCGCTGTAGGACAAGTGTTAACTCCTAGTGTAGATTGAGTTAAAACTGGAGCTCATAAAACAATATGAGATTAAAAATCCAAAGTAGGGAAACTGCGAGAGGATATTATGATTTATTTATTTATAAAGCAATTAGAATAAGATAACCTCAGAAGGAAAATGGACGAAGATTCGAACAAGTCGACCAAGAAAGAAAGCAAAACAAATAGCCAATACGAATTTACAAAGTTGTTTAACACAGTCTATGAAATGAAAACAAATTTTATTTTTACCTGGTTTAGCAAAGATTTAAAGGATTGATAATGGCCACTATTGATGAGAATATGAGGAAACAGGTTTATATCTGTGGGTGGGAGTAAAAATTATTGTGGACTTTACAGAAGGCAAACTTTTTTTTTTTTTTTCCCTGAATCAGGGTCTCACTCTATCACCCAGGTTGGAGTGCAGTGGCATGCCACCTTGACCTCCTGGGCTCCCTGCTTCAGTCTCCCGAGTAGCAGGGACTACAGGCACACACTGCCACACCCAGCTAATGCTTTGATTTTTGTGGAGAAGAGGTTTTGTTATCTTGCCTAGACTGCTCCTGAACTCCTGGGCTCAAGCAATCCTCCCGCCTCAGCCTCCCAAAGTGCTGGAATTATAGGCGTGAGCCACCACACTAGGAGGCAAACTTTAAAATAGGCATGCCCTTTAACTCAGCCATTCTCACTACTAGCAATTTATCCTTAGGAAATCATTGAACAGCTGGCACTCATTTGGGCAAAATTTTCATTTCAATACCTAAATAACAATAACAAAAGGAGAAACACTCTAAATGTCTACCTTAAGGGAATAAATTATTTATGGTACCTGCATATAATATATGCAACCATTAATAGGTGATAGGTGTCAACAGTATTGCATACAGCAGAATATGGAACTGTGTGTAGAGTTTGAAATGTTTGTATGAATAGATATGCAGATACAGATATATTAAGTATTCCAGGACATGGGCCAATGGAAAAAAGATTATTTCGTTCCTTTTTGTTTGTTTGTTTGTTTTTTACTTTTTAAAAAATCTTTTTAAAATTTTTATTTTATAGATGTGGGGTACAAGTCAGGATTGGGTATATAAGTGGTCTAGGTATAGGTGAAGTTTTGGGCTTCCCATTGGACCTCACTTTGCCTGGATTAGGACCAAGCACCCTTGTTGATTTTATGTGGCCTCCTAATCCCTTTCATATAGTATTATGATATGTATTCTGGTCCACTTATGAGTGAGAATATGTGGTACTCAGTTCTTTGTTTCTGTGATAGATCATTAAGTACAATAGACTCCAAATCCATCCAAGTTGTTTCAGAGTCCATAGTTTTGGCCTTCTTTATGTCTGCGTAATATTCCATCATGTATGTATATCACATTTTTTTATCCAGTCAAGTTTTGATGGGCAGCATGGTTGGTTCCATGTTTTTGCTATTGTGAAGAGTGCTGCAATAAACATGTGTACACAGGTATCTTTTTTGTAATGATGCTTTCAAAACATGTTGCTCCATTTGGATATCCATATGGAAAAAAAACTTTATTTGGTCTCTATCCTCACATCATAAGCAAAAATACATTTCATTTGGATTGCTAATCTGTATTTTTAAAGTCCAGCAATAAGAAAACATAAGAGAACATTGTTACAACCTTGAAGTAGGCAAAAAGTTCATAACAGGACACAGCACTAATTATAAAGAAAAATATATAAGTTGAACTATCTTAAAAGTAACATCTATTCATCAAAAGATACCAGTGAGTGACGAGGTAACCTACAAAGTAGGAGAAGATTATAATATATATAATATATGTATATATGCACTTCAGAATATATATATATATTTCTGAATATGTAACTACTACAAATAAATAAGGAAAAAATAGAAGCAGCCACTGATCTGTTTTCTATCACCATAGTTTAGTTCTATTGATTCTAGAATTTCATATAAATTCAATCATTATAGTTTATACCTTTTGTTTCCAGTCCCTTTCAATTTAGTGTAAATTAAAAATATTTATCTATGCTGTTTTATGTATCTAGTATTTTCCATTATCACAGGAAATAGTCATTCAGTGAGCTTTAAATGAACAGTCTCAGATTTGGTAGAGAAGGAGGGAATGTTCTTATGACTCATTCATTTGATCTATTTATCTGATTCAGTACAACATCACACCATGTTGGTTTTGACCATTATACAATCTTAAATTGTTCCTATTCTTTGTCACATAGTGTTCCAATTACCTTTTCTTACCATATGGAATGAACCACTGTTTAAAGGCAGCAAAGAGGGCCAGCCATGATGGCTCATTCCTGTAATCCCAGCACTTTGGGAGACCAAGGCAGAAGAATCACTTGAGGTCAAGAGTTCAAGACCAGCCTAGGCAACATAACAAGACCTCATCTCTACAAAAAATATAAAAATTACCTGGGCATAGTGGCACATGCCTGTAGTCCCAGCACTTTGGAGGGTGAAACAGAAGGATTGCCTGAGCCCAGAAGGTTGTACTGCTGCAATCTAGCCTGGGCAACAGAGTGAGACCCTGACTCAAAAAAGAAAATAATAAACATGAAAAAAAAAAAAAGGGCAGCAAAGAAGGATTCCTAAGGGAACATTGATGTTGAAATCTCGAAATTGCTAACGGGAAACCCAATCATTCTTCCAGTTTCCTTCAAGAGTTTCATCAGATTTTTAAATAGCAACCTTATCAAAATTTTCACACAGCACTTATGATGTCAAAATACAATGTTAAAAAGAGAAAACATAGTAAAAATTTTAACCAACTTGGTTATTACACTATTGGGTAGAACCACATTGTGAGTGGAAAAGTGTTTGCAAACAGCAGCCTGAATCTTTTTTTCTTACTGTTTAGAAGCAAAAATCATGTTAACAAATCTGTTAATTTTTGCTTAAAAAATTAACAAAAATGTTAATTTTTAAGCATAAATGTAGTAATTCTAAACATCAAGTCACAAGAATAGTTTTTGCCAATTTTTGATGCTATAACACATAGTTAAACTTTATTCTGTATTTTAATATACATTCAGGACTAAAACTCAATATGAAATGTCTTTCTTAAAATTTATTTCTCAATAATACATATTTTTTCTTACATCGTGAATTTAAAGTTAACTAAACAGTGTGAGTCACTTACTAAATGGGAAAAAGCCAAAGTGTACTTTATATGTTATGAATATTATTAAAGACTATATTTAAGATTGACGTTAAAATAACATTTCTAATATAGTCACTAATAATTTCTCTCTCTCTCTCTCTCTCTCTCTCTCTCTCTCGTTGCGCGCGCGCGCGCACACACACACACACACACACACACACAAAAGGGCATGTGAGGACACAGCAAGAAGATGGCTGTCTGCGAGCCAGAAAGAGAAGCCTCATTAGAAGCCAACTCTGCTGGCATCTCAGTCTTGGACTTGTAGCCTCCAGAACTAGGGGAAAACAAATTTCTGTTATTAAAGTCACCCAGTCTATGATATTTTGTTATGGCATCCCAAGTAAACTAGTGTACACTTCTTTATTTTCTTCACATAAAAATGAGCAAAATAACTTTTTAAAAAATCCTAAGGTTTTAAAATAGAAAGTGTGTATTACTATGAGATGGACTCAGGAGTTTTAAAATGTTGGAAAAACTAGGGAAAGAGGAGACTTTAATTTTTATAGTAAAAGGTGGCAGTTATTTGGGAAGGGGCAGTACCAACCTAGCTCAAGAGAATAACATGGATGAAAAAGCAGGCAAGAAAATAGGTAATATAGATTGCAGAAAGGATTAAAAAGTTAATAAGATTTAATGCTATCTAGGTAGTATCTTAGCTTGAGTTGCTATACCAAATTAGTGGAGATTATGGCTTAAACAACAGGAATTTATTTTCTCAAGTTCAGAAGAATGAAAAGTCGAAGATCTTGCAGGTGTCCACCTTCTTGGTGTGTCCTCATGTGGTTGAGAGAGAAAACAAGATCATCTCTGGTTTCTTCTTAGAAGAGCACTAATCCCATCATGAGAACCCTTCCCTCCCAACTGCATCTAAACCTAATTTGCTTCCCAAAGACTCCATCTCCAAATATTAATACCATCACATTGGGGGTTAGGGCTTTAACACATAAACTTGAGGAGAGGTGAAACAATTTAGTCTTTAGTGGGTAGTGAAGGAACCAGAGTATAGAGGGTCACAAAAGTCAGTCTGAGACACCAGGTCTGCTGCACTAAGAAATGGCCAAGAGGGAAAGAAGAAAATAAACTTGTTTCTTACAGAGTTAGGGACAATAGAGGAATAGTCAAATGGAAATATCCAGGAGGGAACTGGAAATCAATGTTGACTGAAGTTCAGGTAAGAAAACTAAGCTGAAGTAACATTCAACGCCGTGAATTTCAAGTACTTATTTTATTATTAGCAATCATTATGATACTTAATTTAGAAGTGAAATCAATATGCTAAGTTGTTAAAGCACTAGCCCTGGGGACTCCCACTGTTAATAGTTTACCTAACACTGTGGAAGTGGAATCAATATGGTTTCTCCTTTTAAATGGTGAAGCGATCAACTTTGGCATCTGAATACCTGGGTTAAAATCTCTACCTACTAGCTATGTGACCTTGGGCTGGGAAGATCAACACCACCACCCCATCCCCACCACCAAGGTCTTATTGTG